TACAACGTCCGCTTCTAGCTAACTGTACGCTAGGCCCGAGTGGCCTTCAGGTAGTTTATTACGCGACGTTGCGCCTACGGCTCGGCTTTCCAAGACACGGTAGGGCTTCTGACAGGTCCTGGGCGACTCTTTCGCCTACTGTCTCTCACGGCTAAGCTTCCTGCGAAGCTCTGCTCTAGGTGTACTATCTTGCGACGGTCCACCTACTCGCTGCGCTAAGGCCTTTCGTACCTATTGCAGCACCAACTCCGTGTTACTAGCTTATGCTAATAGCACGTTCTGAAGCTTAGTCAGAAGACAGTCCGCCTAAGGCTTGTGTCTAATTGGGATCGAATACAAAATGTAAGGGGCTGCGCTCTGGGGAGCAATCGCGAGGTATACAAGAGGTTGTATTCGATGAGGAGCTAAGCTCCCAAGCTACGTAGCTGTCTATATACAAGCTGGTTACCCGAGTAACAATCGGACCGGTGAAGTCTAGGTGCACGAGGCAGCTTCTGGGTCCTGCGGCTGTCGTCTGAACGTCGTTCGGGCGGTGCGCAGAGAATCCGGGTGCTCGAGACAGCACCCGGGTTCTGCGAGTAGGCCGAGATTCCATCGAGGAGCTATCCAAAGGGCGTTCAGCCCGTTACATATACCCTCTTAGCTTAAAAGGTTTAAGCTAGATAAGACGCAGCTTAGCTACTCTAATTAATTCTAGATCTCTATAACGGGTAACTAATTATATAGCTCTTAATCTTTAACATTAACTAGCCCTAGTTAAATTAGGAAGCCTATCTACTAGTTTACTAAGAGTACTTTAGTAAGGCTATTAGCTATTATCTTAAAGGATTTTATATATACTACTTTAATATTTTAGTTAGTTACTTTCTGTTAGAGATCTAAGCTACTCAGCTAATCTCTAATAAGATCGATCTATCAATCGACTAGATCGCTATACCCTAGCGATCTATACTATCATACTACTAGTATATCACGAGTATATTAGTAGCGTAAGAGATAAATAAAGATTACGTGTATACAACGTAATCTATCGTGTTACACGGGGTAAGGGTCTATACTTCTCTATCCTGGTCCGCACTAAGGCAGGTGAGTATTACGTTAGTGTTCCGTGAGGCTTGTCTGGCGATGCAGTGGAGTTGGCGTACTTAAGGAGGGTTTAACAAGACTAATCTATTTAATAGACTAACTTGTGACAATCTTGTTAAGTAAGGATACTAGTAAGAAAGTACAATTTAAGTTGACCACAACGAGAGTAATAATGAAACCCATCTATCCTTATATCCTCATTGCTTCTAGTCCTGCCATCACTGCCATCACGACTTTTCCGTTGCTTGGCCTGATGTCCTGATGGCTGCCATTAAAGGATTGCTGCTATTATATACTAGCGTCTGACGGTCGTCTTGGCGTGATGTCAATCACGTGATCCTCGCCCCGCGATGATTATTACCTTCTGGCGTGGACGTCTATAGGCCTTCAGCTATCTCGTCACTTGTTAAGGAGAGAATTCTTCTTGTTACTTGTAACATTACCTCCCCTCTTAGGGCTATCGTCCTAATACCCTAGAATATCGTTTCCCCGTGCCGCGTGTTGAGACGCCGGCTGCATATAAGGTTAGAGCCCGTCCACTCGTTGTAGCCGTCTCTGCCTCGTAGCCTTCCTAACTATACCTAAGGTCTAATCTTCTCGCTGTGTTCGTGCCCAGGATTCAACTTCCGAGCGTCGCGCTTATACTAACTGTGTAAAAGAGTAGGGGAACGAAATGACCTTTCGTTATAAGCGCTGTAAAGAGAAGAACCTTCGTTGTTTTGTGGATACTGCTACTAGGCGTTGTGCTAGCTGTATTTCTATTACTGCTACGTGCAGTCTTTTCGTGTCTAAGGAGGAGTAGGATAAGGTTTAAGCTGAAAAGCGCAAAAAACGATTGGAGATTGCGCGTGCTGAGGAGCGTTAGGCTCTAGCCGCTGCTAAGGCCTCTCGTGCGGCTGCAGAAACTTCTCGTCTTCGTCGCGAGCTTCTAGAGACCAAGGCACGAGAGCAAGAGTTTGCTGATCGGGATCTTGCCATCTTGAATCTTTAGGATCGGGCGAAAGAGCAGGCTGAGGGGAACTCTGCCCCTGGTACGGGCCTTCCTGTTGTCGAACCACCGCTATCCGAACCATCGGCTGATCTGGGCTGGTTACAGGCTGACTCCTTCGATCCTTCCTTTGATTATTCCTTCCTTTTCTCTAAGGGGTTGCCCCTCGCTTCTCCGGGTGCTTCCGGTGGTATTTACGTACTAGTGACTTGCAGTTCGTTAGGTTTCCTTTAGGTTCCTAAGTGTTATAGCTCTCGGGCCATCCTTGCTACTTAACTAAGTACTTCTACTAACTACTGATTTTCCGTAGGTCCTTGATTTCCTCGACCTCGTACTCGTCGTCTTCGAGCTCTATGTCCGTTGCTAGCTCGGCATCTAGAGGTGCTGGTTCTAGGAGTTTCTTGTGAAAGACAGAGTGGATCCGCATACCTTATGGGAGTTTTAACTTATAGTTTACTTTTCCTATTTCCTCTAGGATTTCGAATGGTTCTATTCGGAGGTTGTCTAATTTTCTACATAGTCGTTTAGTTTTCAGGTTTTGTCGTGACAAGAAAACTTTGTCCCCCTTCTTAAAGATTAGTCCCTTAATCCTTAGTTTATTCGCTGCTTTGGATGTCGTGAGGTTTCGTTAAGCTATGTTCTTACTTAATTCTTCGTGTAGTTCTTACATAAGCTTTGCTTTGTTGTCTGCTCCTACCGCGATACTTTCGATGTCCCTTGGGTCTCGATGAGCAACTAGCTCATATCTGTAGTTTGCGTAGTACGGCGAGTGCTTCGTTATTACGGATTTCGTGCTATTGTAGGCCAATTGCGCTGTCGGTAGCAACTCTACCTAGTTGTCCTGTAATTTGTTGGCGTACATCCGTAAGTACTACTCTAATGTCTAGTTCGTTCTTTCTGTCTAGCTATCTGTTTCTGGATGAAAGCTTGTCAAAAGCTTCTTCTTAACACCTAACTTCGCCAGGAATATACTCCAGTATTTAGACGTAAATAGTTTATCACGATCGGTGATGAACTCTTTAGGTATCCCATGCTCTAACACTAGTACTTTAGTGACTTCGTACGCGCATTCATCTGCCGTAATAGTCTCTTCTATAGGCACAAACTTTACTGCCTTAGTTAATCGGTCCACGATTACTAGTATTGTGTCGTAAACTCGAGCTAATCCTAGTTCTAACGATTTCGGGAGCTTCACTATAAAGTCCATCGTTATACTTATCTATAGTCTAGATGGTGGCTGTAGAGGTTGTAACAGGCCGTAGAGCTTATGTCTCTTGGGCTTGTTCTGGTGACATGCTAAATAGTTGCCTAGTGCTTCCTGCACCTTCGCTCGCAAGCGTGGTATCGCAAACACCTTAGCTAGTCGTCTAACTATTTCTTCGATCCCTGCGTGTCCGTATTCCTAGAACTCATACAGTTCCTATATGAGACTCGATCTCATGCGTGGAGGTACATATGTTCGATTCTTCGAAATCATATCTCGGTACTCTCGTTCATCGTTCAACAGTTCGTCGGAGCCTGCTTCGTCGGGCTCGAACTGCCAGCTAGCTGCTCGCTACTACCATTGCTGTTGTAGCGTTTCTACCTGCTCGGCCACCTTAGCTACCTTAGCTAGTTCCGGCTGGTTGTACTTCAGACTGCTATCGGGCATTATCTTGAGTAAGGCGTTATATAGTTCTTTATGACCCTCTTCGCGCAAATCAGATCTTCTACTTAAAGCGTCTACTGCTCCGTTAAGTGTTCCTGCGCGGTGCGTAATCTTGAAGTCGAACTAGGCTAGCATCTCTACCTATTGCACTTATCGTCGGTTGAGTTTTTTCATTATCATAAAACTCGTCAGGTTCTAGTGATCGGTAAAAACCTCGATCTGTTCGGGGAGTCCTAGTAGGTACACTTCCCATTGTTCAAAGGCATCGACTACTCTAAGTAGTTCCTTATCGTGAACATTGTAGTTAAGTTCTACTCTAGAGAACTTTCGTGAATAGTAGAACACTAGTCTCCATTTTCCATCTAGGCACTGCTGTAACAATACAGCTCCGAGTGCATAGTCAGACGCGTCGGTCTCGACTCTGGTAGGTCGTTGAGGGCTGTACATCTCGAGTACTGGCGCCTCCAGAAATATCTGCTTGATTCGATCGAAAGCCTCTTAATGTTCCTATTCCCATTTGAAACCTACTTCCCTCTTTGTCACTTCCGTAAGGGGTGCTGTGATCTTTAAGTAATCTCTAATAAACTTTTAATAATAATTCGCAAATCCTAAAAAGGACTAAATATCCTTAAGTGTTTTAGGTTTTAGCCATTCCTATACAGTCTATATCTTCTTTAGGTTCATTTTTACGCCTTCGGTTGATATAATAAATCTAAGGAATTCCGTTTCCTATATATGGAATTCACACTTTCCTGGTTGAAGGTATAGCTTATATTCCTTAAGCTTCCGTAAGACCTTCTTAACATGCTCGACATGTTCTTCGCGTATGCCGCTGGAGTACACTAGTACGTCGTCTAGATACGCGGTAACAAAGATTCTAAGGTACTCGTGGAGAGCGTTGTTAATAACTAATTGAAAGGTTGCCGGCGCATTCGTCAATCCGAACGGTATAACCGTGTACTTAAAGAGTCCGTACTTCATTTTAAACGCTGTTATCTATTCGTAACCTTCTTTAATCTTAATTTAGTAAAATCCTTCCCGAACATCGAACTTCGTAAACTACTTAGCTCCCTAGAGTCGATCTATAAGCTCTGTAATGAGTGGTAAGGGATATTAGTTCTTCTAAGTTATGCTATTCAACCTTCTAAAGTTAACACATAGTCGCTACTTCCTGTTAGGTTTCTTTACGAACAAGATGGGTGAGACTATTAGGCCTGATCCCAGTTGGATAAATCCCTTTTTTAAGTTCTTTTAGATGTAATCCCGCAGCTCAGCATCGTGCTTGGGCGCTATAGGGTATATTAGTTCTGGGCTTAACTTAGCTCCCTTATTAAGGATAATCTCGTGATTCTAATCCTGATGGTCTACTAGGTCCGTTGCCTTATTTTCCTCGAATAGTTCTCTGAACTCGTCCGTTTGGTATTCTGTTAGAATCGCTAACTATAGTACCGATCCTTCCTTCGTAGTCGCGATCTGCTGTATCTAAATAACTCCTACGCTCTGAGGGTCCTTCGCATAGATTCTCGCGATCTTATGCGGTGAGATTATGCTAAATCTCCCGTCCTAGGTTGCGCGCTGATTTATCGGGCGTGTCTCGTGTCGTACTCTAGCAACCTTGTGTATAGGCTCTTAGCTAAGTAATATCTTCTTTTACTAATTAATGGCAGGGTTGTGCTTTAATAACTAATCGTAGCTAATTATTATCTCGGTCTCTCCAAGATCTATAATGCTAATCTTTTCTCAGCTTTCTTAACTAGCTAGGCGTAACGTTACTGCCTCGGTCTTAAGTCGGATCTAGCCATTCCCGTATGTCGTAGGACTATCGTCGGCTAATACTACTCGCATCAGTACCTTCTTGTTCCGATAGGGTATGTTATTTCCTTCTACTACTCGTGGCGATATGACGGTTCGTGCGGCCCCACTATCTATAAGCGCTAACACCTTATGTCCGTCTATAAGTACTGTGGCTTTTAATTGCAATTCTTTTGCTCCTTCTTCCTATACTTATCTAAGGGTCGTTTTAGGACTGCCTTTGCTAGCGTGACCCTGTCCCTAGTAGCATCCTAGTTTTTTGACTATCTACTTCCCTTCTTCTTTAGGAAGTAGCCTTCGCCTACCTTAGCGGAATAGTATATTATACACTAGTTATTGTAGTAGAAGCTCTAATGGATATTCTTATAGGGCACCTTTCGTTACGTAGTCCTCTTTCTTAGTTCTGGCTTCCTGCTCTTGTGAATCGGGCAATCCTTTGCCTTACAAATGTTCGCTAATAGGGTGCTATAGTAGTAGTTGCCTACCTGTCGAGCATCCTTAAACTATTGTTAGTGCATAGCGCATCCTTTCTTATAATGCGTCTATAGGAGTTTATTATGCTCTACTGGCGTTTCCCGTACTTAGGCCCTATGCATTCTGCAGTTTTTTACTATATATTCTTCCGCGGAAATCGTGCTGTGATAGTAATTATCTACCCTTCTAGCTTTCCGTCGTTGTTTCTTGTGGAATTAGCAATTAATTGTGCACTTAATCCAGCACAACTCTTCGTGAGCTTCCTTTTCTCCGGGCTAGTGCATATAGCAATACTGTACGCGACACTTGTTATGCCATAAATTAGTATGGCAGCAATCGTCCTTGTTGTCTCTGGTTTCTTCTCGCTTCCTTAAGTAGTAATCACACTATCTTGGGTAGTTGACCCAACATAGGCGCTCGTATTGCTCCATCCGCTCCTTAAACGTCCGAGGTGTCTCCTCGTCATCAGGTTCCTTAAACCTAGGTTGTTCCTGGGCAGCCCTATAGGTAATCTCATCTGCTTGGGGTCCTGAGATTGTGACTCTTCTATTATAGTCGCAATCGTTAGCTTAGTGCGTAGTTAGTCCATAGATCTAGCACTATTAATTTCTTAGGCGGCGTAGTACTTCGGCCCCTTTAATCTGCCAATCCGTTAGTAGTGGTGCGTCCCACTTGAAGTCTTGGAGTCCTATTGCCTCTTATACTAGCTCAAACGCCTCGTTAGTAGCTTATCTTGCTTCTTCGTACAGGTCTAGGTCGCTGAGGGTTTCATCTAGCTCCTCAGTTAGGTATAGTGTTGGTATCCGAATCATCCCAATCTTAACCGCTCCTTGTCTGACTTCGTTTTTTGGGCAATCTCTGCGGAAGTGTCCTACTTTACCGTATCAGAGACATGCCTTACTATTATAACGCTTCTTGCGTTCTTCTATAGAGAGTCCGTCATTATACTATTCTCAGGGTTTTCTATTCTTATTCTTAGACTTGTCTTGTACCTTACCGGTTATGATAGTGTCGCCATCTTTGTTGAACCAGCTACGCTGCTTCCTTATATTAGCCACTGTGGGTTGAAATTGTTTCTTTTGTCAGTTTCTTTCCCATAGCCTATTATTAATGCGTGTTGCTAACTCGATCAGCGTATAAAGCGTGTTTGGTTTATCGTGATATACAAGTCCGTCTTTGACATTTTCCTTTAGACCTGCTTCGAACACTATTCGAAGTGCTGCGTCGTCCTAGTCGATTCGTGCCTATAGCTACTTGAACTCAGCTGTGTACGCTGATACTGAACTGGTCTGCTTCAGGCGAGTTATCGCTTTCTCTGCCTGGTTCTGAGCATCTACTTCCCCAAAGATGTGTCCCATCTCTTTCTTGAACTCGGCCTAACTAGTGAATAAGGCACGCGTCTCATCCTTTGTTCCTCTTTTTTCAATGTCTGATAGGTAGTCCTCTACGTATGGCTGTATCTAGCTTAACGCTCGTCCTTTCATGTAGGTGCTGGCTATAAGGATTTTCTCCTAGTCGTTGGGTACCTCGTTGAATTTACAATATAAGTCGATGTTAGTAAGGAATATCCGCAACTTGGTGCGACTTCCATCGTACTTTTCTAGGGTTGCCATTTTCGGCTTCTTAAGTAGTTTCTCGTTCGGGGTGGCTATTAGTTAACCTATAAGTTAGTTAATCGTATTCTATAACTCAGCCATCTGCCTTGCTTAGGCTTAGCTCTCGCGTCTAAGATTGACGAGTTCGTACTCGGGGCTCCCTGCCGCCGGCTCGTTATTTCCCCCTTAGGTACTACTAGTTATGTTAATATCTCCCTTAGGCGCCGAGCCTGGGATGTAAACATATTCGCTTGAATTTCCTAACATAGTTCAATCTTATTCAGACGCTGCTAGTTAATCCTCCTTCTACTAGATCCGTGGGTGGTCAAAGTGTTACACGGGGTAAGGGTCTATACTTCTCTATCCTAGTCCGCACTAAGGCAGGTGAGTATTACGTTAGTGTTCCGTGAGGCTTGTCTGGCGATGCAGTGGAGTTGGCGTACTTAAGGAGGGTTTAACAAGACTAATCTATTTAATAGACTAACTTGTGACAATCTTGTTAAGTAAGGATACTAGTAAGAAAGTACAATTTAAGTTGACCACAACGAGAGTAATAATGAAATCCATCCATCCTTATATCCTTATTACTTCCAGTCCTGCCATCACTGCCATCACGACTTTTCCGTTGCTTGGCCTGATGTCCTGATGGCTGCCATCAAAGGATTGCTGCCACCACATACTAGCGTCTGACGGTCGTCTTGGCGTGATGTCAATCACGTGATCCTCGCCCCGCGATGATCATTACCTTCTGGCGTGGACGTCCATAGGCCTTCAGCCATCTCGTCACTTGTCAAGGAGAGAATTCTTCTTGTTACTTGTAACATATCGCTACTAGCTATTATAAATACTAGTGATAGAAATACTAGATAGAAAGTAGAGCAGATAGCACAGAGCAGATTACAAGAACAGATCAGACTACTAGATTAGTTTAATCCAATTCTTATCTCTCTCCCCTAGCATTTCTCTCTTTTCATCCTAGAACCTATCGATTCGCTATCTCTAAGTCTATTACTAGACAAGTAGACGACTCTACCTCTGAGCTAGCTATAGAACAAGTAGCACCCTTCTTATTTTAACAGGTTATGAGCCTGGTGTTACACGGGGTAAGGGTCTATACTTCTCTATCCTGGTCCGCACTAAGGCAGGTGAGTATTACGTTAGTGTTCCGTGAGGCTTGTCTGGCGATGCAGTGGAGTTGGCGTGCTTAAGGAGGGTTTGACAAGACTAATCTATTTGATAGACTAACTTGTGACAATCTTGTTAAGTAAAGATACTAGTAAGAAAGTACAATTTGAGTTGACCACAACGAGAGTAAATAATGAAATCCATCCATCCTTATATCCTCATTGCTTCTTGTCCTGTCCTCCCGACATCCCATCTTGGCGGGAGGTTTGGGAGGACGTTGGCTTCCCTTTATGCGGTGGCCTCCCGGAGGCCATGCCTTGGCGGGATGCCAAGTCACGTGATCGACGCCCCGCGTTGATCATTACCTTCTGACGTGGACGTCCTTAGGCCTTCAGCCATCTCGTCATTTGTCAAGGAGAGAGTCTTTCTTGTTACTTGTAACATTACC